AAGCCTTGAACGCTTTCATTCCGCCATTGCGCGGCGCGTTTGTGCCGCAGGTGACTATCCAGCCGACCGCCCTTGATGAACTCGACGAAATCGTGCTGCGTAACAGAAGGTGCTACGTTGCGGCGCGAATAGACCGCAAAGCTGGCGCCCCACGGCAGCGTGAAATTGAAGCGTATGAAGGCCGGGTGCTTGTTGCGAAATTCGAGGTTCCAGAACTGATAGGGTGGTATGTTGGCGTGGTAGAATTCATTGAAGTCCTTCAACTCCACCACCTGCGGCCATTTCAACAGCTGCTGTTGATGCTGTGAGGACTGTTGTTGCTGTGCCGTGTACGATTGGTCCTGCAGATGGGAGGTGGCATCTTGTGGGACGCCGGCCAATGTCTGTTGATGATTGATGGCATTTGGCTGCTGTTGCTGCAGCAGCAATTGTTGCTGCTGTTGAAGCTGCAGCGACGGCGCCGAGTTCTGCATGCCTCCATAGCCACTACTGGTTCCACTGTGGTCCGATGTGCTCGTTTGTATTGACTCCTCTGTGGGGTAGGCGGTTGGCAATTGGCCGCCACTGGCGCTGATTCCACTGGATTTCACGTTGCCATGCAAGTCGTGTGGTTGCGACTTTACATCTTGGACTAGGATGCAATTTGTTGAGTCCATGTTGGGCTTCATCGAACTGACAGCTGCAATGAAAAGAAGAAGAGGACACATTTATAAAGGGGTAGGAAAAACAATCACATTTTTGTTGGTATAAATATTTCTCAAAAAGTAAGAATGCCAGTGCGAATGGCCACAAAAGTACCAACTGCTATTGCTCATAGTGGGCACATGATAATCATAAATTGCGAGTATGAAGTAGTGTGTGTGTGTTTGTGTGTGTGCATCTGGAGGTGACGCATTGCAGTCGCATCCATAATTTGCAGGCCTCTAAATCACAGTTCACCGGGAAATATGCAATGCATAAAAATACCATATGTGCAACCGAACAAGCGAATAGATGTCGAAGTACGTGAGATATATGTATGCTGGCTGGCAGGCAGGTATGCAGAGCAAGCCATAATCCACGGCAGTGGCAGGAAAGGAATCGGTTGCCAAAAATGCAAAATCGTGCTGCCACACGTCGAAAGTGTGAAAGTGTGAGCGCGATAGCTTCAAGGAAGATGCGCAACTTCGCCGATAGGAGTATAATATAAACCAAATGCTGCCGCAGCATTTTGTTTTAGTTCCATCCTGCGGCATGGCGGCTTACAGAAGAAGGAATGCATGTTGGATGGCCGCAAAGTGCTGAGGTGTCTTTGGCTCCTGCGAATTTATGGGAGCGCACGTCTCGCCACAAAGAAAGCGAAACGAGAACCCTGCGCGTTCGCCTCCATGAGCGGCGCCAAGATGAAAGCGCTGCGCGGAGTTTTAAAGAAAATCGATTACTTAAGCATAAATTATGTGGCTGGGGCCCTAAAGTTGTAGACTACTGGCCATAACGACGTGGCGGTCCACTAGCCTCGTTTTTTCCCCCCCATTTTTGCTTTTGAATTTAAATTTATTGCGAAACGGACGCCGCTCTCAGCAGCAGCGGCATCTGCGACGGTGCATATGGGCACTTACAACTGCCTCGGATCGCCACATCATGCCAGCAGCTAACCGCGCTCGTAAATCACAAAAAAATCGAGCTGTGGTAACTTCTGCATTTTCGGAATTTTCGTCTTTCTTCAGTTTCGATAATTCGTTTCTTCTTACCATTTCCCATTGTATGTGTAGCGTATGGTGTCCTCACTGACTATTGAGAGTCGGCCATTCAAATTTCAATTCTGCGATTTATTGCAAGTTATTTCGAAATTTATGTACTAAAGATTCCCGTTTGAAAGCTCTAAATTTGAAAAGCTAAGAACTTTTCCCACAGCGCACGCCATTCAATTATTTCCCCATTGGCCTGGATTTAACGATGCGTTGATATCGCTTCTGCCTGCCTGCATGACAGCATGACAGCATGACAGTGAGCAAATTTTACGTAAATCGTAAATCGGGTATCTAGCGAGAGTGATTGCGTCTAATAGCCCAGTTATGCACACTTAGCTTTGCATGGGAGTTGTCACATAAGGATCTGTTAAATGGGCTTTCCGTGTAAGCGGTTACCCAATGCATAGCGCTTAACATTTAGAATTCTGTAGGGGTTTTGATTTTTACGTAAAAATGGTATGGCAGTGCCAGTATGCATAACTGGGCTACAAGCGTCATGCGTGTGTACGTGCGTGGCGGTGTGCGGATGTGTTTGTGTGTGAGTGTGCTACTGCCACAATTTCTCTGTTTACTTTGTATTGAACAAAATACATATTTCACTCAAGCGACAGCTCAAGGGCTTGGCTAAACACTAGCACCCCAAAACACAAACAACAATAATAATAACACCCACATTACATGGAGATTGTGTTGAAAGAAAGCGACAATGACTGAAGAAACAAATCGGCTGCCATTTTTTTAAATCGAATGTAGCACAAAAGTGTACATGTATTTCAAAATGCCTCCAAATTGTTTTAGAATTTCGAAGTATCTCCAACTCAAATCACTGGCTTTTAGTCAGATATCTGCCGAGCTAAGTGTGCCACATTTGGCTGATTGGTTGGCGCTAAGCCCTGCTGATTGAAAAATGGTTTTTTAATGGTGTCGGGGGGATTCGGAGTGGCAGAGCAATCCGCCGTTTTCACTTTCACATCGCTGCTTAACAACTCAACAACAACTCAAAGTGACTAACTTGCTTGCGAATATAACCAGAAGAAGCAATGCTTAAAGTAATATAGACAGAAATGTTGATTTGCTGTGACTGCTCTGTTTTATGCGCACCCAGTTGTTGTTGTTGTCAGTCGTCAATTATGCGGACCTCCATTGTCGACTACATATTGAGTTTCATACTTTCACTAATCAAAAGCAAAAGGCCACGAGCCGAATGGCATCTGAGTGGTCATCTTATATGGGGCAAGTCAATATTATTTAACTACATTATGCATCGGCGCCCAGAGTGGTTTGGCTCCTTAACTTCCCCGCCGGCAGCTCATAGGCGCATTAAAACTGACCGATGCTAATATATGTTTGTACATTACATATGGCATTGAGTACTTGAAATACTAATTAGTACACTGCTACACAGAGACAAACACACACACACACACTAAAACGACTCGGGCTGTCAATATGTAATCGATATATAAATGCGCGTCTAGGAGTGTGCAGAGCTAATGGGCTCAGGCCTCGATAGCACAACTTAATGAATCCCTGAGGAATTGCTTTTACTTTGCCGTTTGTATTGAATTCCAGTTTTGTCGGCCGCGTCAAGCAGCCCGTCCGAGCGATCTGTCGCACCCCGTCTACTTCACCGCCATTCCAATGACGACAAAGACAATTCAAGATGCGAGGAGTGTAAGTAGAAGGCAAGTAAATAAATAATGACGCCGCCAAAAAGGAGTGCCATTACGCACTTAAAGTGCCACAGAGAGGGGCATTGAATGTGCATTTACACACACACACACACAAACAGACACCCCAGTGCAGGGTGGTTTTTGTTGATTGTGTGGCAAATTAAATAAGCGACGCCTGCAAACAAAACCCAATACAAACCACTAAATATAATCAATTTTAATTGACAGCCCACACAATACCAATACAGCGATTACACAGACATAATGACAAAAATACTTGTACCAGCCGAAGTGTGTAAATCGATATGGCAACAATGGCAAAAACAAGAACTTCAAGCAAAAGGACATTCGAAAAGACACAGAGATACAAGGGTGCATATGGAGCTTTATGTGTTCTCCCTGTCAACTGTGCATTAATGGCCGTAATTTCAGCGGTTATTTTACCATATTAGGCGACAAACTATGCACACATCGTATCGATGTTAGTTTGTAATAAATATGTATCTGAAAATGTGTGCGCGAGCCGAAAGACAGCAAAGAAAATGCCACGCAAGTGTGCACCATCGCTTCCTTCCAGTAACAGTCGCACCCGCCGCTGCCGCGCCGCTTGGGCTAAGCAGTTTCCACTTTGTTTCAAAGCTTGTTAGCTCAATGGTTCAAAGCTTTTAATTTCTTAACGATGGCTCACAACTTCATGGTGCGCAGTTGGAGCAGGGCGATTGACCTATTTTTATTTATGTCTCTATTTGTTTTCATTGTAGCCTTCTGCAGCCGCTGAAGCGCTTGATAAATTAACGACATCGTACAAGAAAAATAATTTCTTTGCCTATTTAAAGGCGCAAGCTACATGAGTATTCTTCTAAGTGACAAAAAAGGGCTAAATAAGCTCATTCAAGCGAAAGTTCAAACTTTTCTAGCCACTGCATGACTGAATCCCCTTGCCTCCTTAAAAACGTTTTTTTTTGTTTTTTTTTTTGTTGGAAAGCTATGCAGACAGCGCGTGATTGAACTCATTACGCCGAAAATTTAATGACAACCATTCATTAATTTATTGATGTCAATTTCAAATATTAATCCCCGATTCAGCACAAACGCACACAAACTAAAACTCATTCCCAGCGGACAGAATGCTCGCAAACGAATCGGATAACGATAGGAATGTGACGTTCAATTTCTTTTTCTTTTCGAATTTATAGAAAAATTCAAGCTGCAATGCTCGCATGATTGGGTTTTACGGCCAAAAAAAACTTTGAAAACCGTTCTTGTCTAGGAGATTTTAATACGATTAACAATGACGGGATGAATTACATCAAACACTTAATTTTGACGTCAAGCTTTCTGTAACGAAAAATTCAGATTCGTCGGTAACACCACCTTATTAAATTAACCATCGGCTCGAGTCGTAACATCCGTCCACGGATTGGAAACCTTATGTGACACGTCAGTCATATAAGCTAAGCTCGCTGGGTTACTGCGACCAGCTTCGGCCAGTGGTGATAATATTTGAGATTTCAAAATAGTGCCAAGTCACCGAAAACAAAAAGTATTTTTTCTAGTCGAATTGTAATATTGACTATGTTAAACACTAACCGCACACAATGGCCCTCAAATATTCGTTGCGCTTCGTTTGTGCTGTCGTTTTAACTGCCGAAGCGACGTACGAACAGCACAGCAAAGCTCTCTCTCTGGCTCTTAACATTTCGGTCAGGGTTTCAGCTGTGCGTTTGTGTGAAACTAAAGGCGGGTTTACCGCTCGTGTCCGGACAACTTTTTATTTGCTCCTCTCAAAACATTTTTGCCGGAGAGGGTGCTCAAGTACGGTTTACCGTTCAGTTTGGCACATTTTATTTTGTTCTGACGCAAACAGCTGATGATATTGTTGCCTACATATGATTTTGAGTTGCAAACGTATATAAAAGAGAACGCGGCAACCCGAATCCTCAAGTCGTTCGGACAGAAAATCCAAATCAATTTGATTCGAACAAAGAGTGGTCAGCACAAAGTATTCGGACACGAACGGTGAATCCGCCTTAAAAGTGCGAAACGTTGTCATATGTTTGTTGTAAAAAACTATCGAATATTTCACATTTTCATACAAACGTACAGAGTTTTGCTTTAAAGAGTGAACTCTAGTTATATATCGTCCCTACCATACAGTCTAAATGCGATATTGAATCTAAGAATTTCGAAAAATGTATTAAAAATCTGGTTTAAAATATAACTCATTTATCTTCTTTTAATTCTTCCAACAGGTTAGGGAAATGATGTGTGACTGC